CAATCTGTGAGCTTCCAGCTATGTATGAGTGTCTCTGCCAAGTTGGAGGCAGCATCCTCCCTGATCATCGACAGCAGGCTCTCTGGCAGGTTTGCCAATGCACTCAGCGTTTTAGTGCATATACCCATTTGCCTTTTGTTCTGTCTGCTACCCCATTGTATTCCCATCTGAATCCACTGCAGTAGAACTCGTCTATGACCTTGCCCTCTGGTAAGTTGGCATACAAACTGCCACTTTCACTTGGCCCAGCTGCAGCCCACTTGTGACCTCTAACTCATCATGTGTAGATCTCAGCAAATCTTTACTCACCTCTAAGATACTTTTAGTATTAATAGCTGGGGGACCTGCGTTCAAGTCCCATCTGCTCCTGAGGTGTATAATAACAATTCGCACCAGGTTGCTTAAAAAATATTCCAAGTTGATGGCTGCAAGTGTAATCTGACAATGTTTCTTCAGTAATAGATTGTTACTCTTTCTCGTCCCCCTGTGCCTGGGCAGCTGACAGTTTGCAGCTTTCTGAAAACAAAAAAATCAGAAAGGGAACGTTGGAGTTAGGGAATGGCTGGGCTGTTGATCAAGAGCTTCGTGATTGCACCCTCTGCAGCTTTCACTTCATACCAAAAAGTAGGGTGAAGGCTAGGTGTAAGTTGAGAAGGAACATAGCTGCTGTAATGTACATTCATCCTGTCTGGTCTTGGCAATGCCAAATGCTTTGGCCTCTGTTATAGCTGAGCATATGATGTGCAGCACAGTCTCTTCAGACATGCTAAAGATGACTCTAAGCACACTGTCACTGATTTGGTTCTGCTCCCTTTTAATTTGCTCATTCTTTCTGTGCAAGGGAGAGGGCAGAATGTCATAAGTTGTGTATCACTGAATTTGTGTGAGGTGCCTGCCATAGCTGAATAGCTTGAAACGCCAGGAGGCAGTGAGAGTTGAGTGTGAGGTTGGCAACACTGGATGTTTTGTATGGGGTTGGAAGAGTTTCTGTATGCTTAGCAAGAATCTTGAGTGCCAGCAGATGCCCCTAAGTGACTGATGGGGATGTGGCGCATTGAATTGTGTAAGAGATTAAAAGGTACTGTGTATAAGTACTGGGTATAAGATGCTCTTTCACAATGAATTCACTGATTTTGACCATCTGTGTGGGATGATTGAACATCTTATTGTACTTGAACTCTGGACCAGACCCTAGGTCATTTGCCAATTGCTTCAATCTCCTTTGGAAATCAGTCTTTGACGACTTTCTGGTGTCACACAGAAACATGGGATTTCACCACTATGACCAACCTTCCAGTGCTGTCTGTGTAAAGCATAGAGCCTATTGCTCTGGTGCAGTATTTCCATACTCTCGATTTGCAGCAGTGTCTGTCAGCATCAGCAGAAAGCATGCAGCCTCCCCTTTAGGAGGGACAGACCGCCTTTAAGAGCTGAAGTTTAATATGAATGTTTCTGCACATTGTTCAACCTTCTATCGAACATGCTGTCAGCCAGCAACATGGGTCAAACTGACCTGCATGCTAAATTCGTGCAATTAGCGCAAAATTTGCATACTGCGTGCATCATTAGGAACAAGCACAGGCAAAACTGTAACATTCCTGCCTGAAAAATGATTTATTTTAGCTCCTTAATTCCGGTCAGGGATTCAACTCTAGAATTGTCAGAAAATCGGGTCCAACAAAACTTCCAAACTTGATGGAGGCATGCGGGAGGAGGAGGCTTAAACTGATGATATCGAATTGGTAGATAGTTATACATCCAGCTTGGTTTTCCTTCTATAGACTTGCCAAAGTTGAAAGTTCTGCCCCCTCTCTGAATATTTTGCTGATTGGTGGAGTCAGGAATGATCTCAAGAGCAGGAGATGGGGTAGTAAACAGTAAATGAAGGACAGACTAGATGAAGGTCTTGAATCTAAACTGGGATGAATGGAGCTTCATTCAGAGAATAGATGGAGAGTTAACACATGCAGTGTGTGGGTAAATTAGAGTGAGGGTGATAAGTAAGCAGCCAGAGTGGAAGAACATAGTGAAAAAGAGGGATCATGAGGGGAGACATCCAGATGTTGAGATAGGGGTAAAGCAGAGAAGGTCAGCTTTCAGATCCATGAAAAGCATGTGGCATTCAGCCACAGATTTAGAGACCGCACAATGATGCAAGAGATTGGGAAATTGTGGTACCTTGTAGATGGGAAAATATCTAGTGCAAGGGTGGTATAAATGTGAAAGAAGATGGTAACAAATCAGTTAAAGGAGGTGCATAACTCAGTAAAACTTTGTTACTAATACAGAGAACGCATAGCCTCGAATTTGAATTTCAACCAAACTGGGACACGATTGCAGTGCAGCACATGCTGCAAGCTGATGAGTGAGGCAGATGGCAGGACCACAGCAAATGTTTTCATGATACTATTGCTGGCTTTGAACACCAGTCACTAACCCTGAATGAGGTCTCTGGAACTTTGGAGGCGTGTATATCAATATGCTTAGATGTCAGGCAGCGCCTTTAAAATTTAAAGGAGATGAGGAAGTCAGAAGAGAAACAGATAGTTCTTGCTCCTCAATAGGTAAGGTAGTTTTCTTAAAAGCATTCAAACATCAAATCATTTTCTTCCCAACATTTTTAAGAATTACTGATATAACTGCCAAGTGTCCAAGGAGTAAAGTAAAGGTTAAGTCACTAGAGTCCTACCAGACCTTGGGGATGCTCTTCTCATTAGAGAGATGATTGGTGATGGTTTAACCTGACAGTCACCACGCCTCGGGCGAGGGGACTGGTTGAGAAGGAAAGTCCTTTATGGTAACCTCAGCTGATGTGGGAATTGAACCTTTGAATCACAAACCAGCCATCCAGCCAACAAAACTAACTGACCCCCATGTCTGAAGAATATTATGCCTGCATGTAAACGCATGCTGTGGTTACATGCGAAGGAGATCATGAACACCAGTTAAGCCTTTGCATGTACAAAAACAGAGCTGCTGCCTGCTTTAGGCATGCAGCCAGGAAACATACAGAGGAGCTCTAATCATTACTGTGGGCATGGGATTTCCTGCCATCATATTAGACTGTTAATTTTACACTTGCCCATTTTACACTTATAAACTGAACACAACCTGCAACTTCGAAGCCTTATCTTTTGCCTCACATGAGGAATGTTGCAAGGAATCTCATGTTCATTAAATAACTGTTTGGTAAGAGCCTAATCTTGAAAATTGTCTGGAACTATGCTGCAGTTTAATTATTAAATTGGTAGAGTTTTGGCAAAGATCTGTAGCTCGGGTTGAGGGTGAGGTTGTTGACTTGCTCACCGAGCTGGCTTGTTTTCGTTCAGACGTTTCCTCACCATGCTAGGTAACATCATCAGTGGAGCAATGTTATTCTACTCCGCTTGGAATTTATACTGTCTGGTCTGTTATGGTGAGTAGTGTCATTTCCAGTTTTGATCTGTATGGGTCTGTATATGGGGTCCAATTCTGTGTGTTTGTTGACTGCATTACGGATGGAGAACCACAACTCTAGGAATTCCCGTGTGTGTCTATGTTTGACTTGAGCTACAATGGCTACCTTGTCCCAGTTAAACTGGTGGCCTTCGTTGTCTGAGTGTGCTGATATTAAGGAGAGTTTGTTGTGCTGTTTTGCTGCTAGCTGATGGTCTTGTATTTTGATGGCTAGTTTCCTTCCTGTCTGTCCGATTGTAATGTTTGTGGCAGTCGTTGCATGGTATTTTGTAAACAACATTGGGTCTGAATATTGTGGGAATGGGATCTTTAATCCTTTTAAGTGTTTGTCATAGAGTAGCTGTGGGCTTGTGGGCCAACATTATTCCTAGTGGTCTTAGGAGTCTTGTCAGTTCCGATATTTTCTTGATGTAGGGCAGTGTGGCCAGTGTGTTAGGACGTACTGTGTCCTCCTGTTGTCTGCTTAGCAGGCATCTGCGGATGAAGTTGCGGGGATATCCGTTTATAGCGAGGATTTTGTATAGGTGCTCTTCCTCTTTCCTCCGTAGTTCTGGAGTGTTGCAGTGTGTCCTGGCCCATTTAAGTAGTGTCCTAATGCAGCTTTGTTTGGGGACATTGGGGTGGTTGCTGTGGAAATTGAGGATTTGGTCAGTATGTGTTGCTTTTCTGTATACTGAGGTTTGGAACACCCCGTTGGTCATACGTTCAGCTTTAACATCCAGAAACAGAAGTTGATTGTTGTTTTCTTTTTCCCTTTTGAATTTAATCCCCGCGAATATGCTGTTGATGAGATGGTGGGTCTCTTCTAATTTGTTGCGTTTAATAATGACAAATGTGTCGTCTACATACCAGATCCATAGTTTAGGTTGAATGCGGGGGAGGGTGGCGTGTTCTAGTCTTTGCATAACTGCTCCTGCAATGACCCCATTGGTGCACCATTGATCTGTTTGTGTACTTGGCTATTAAAGACGAAGTGGGTGGTGAGGCAGAGGTCTGGTAATTTAAGTATGTTATCATTGCTGATTGAGCTGCTGGTCTGTGTTGCTGCTTCCTCCAGTAATGTGGCCACTGTTTCTTTTGGCTAGTGGGATGTTGATTGATGTGAATAAAGCTGTGACATCAAAGGATACCATAATCTCGTTGTCACTGATTTTTATGTTCTTGAGGGTATTGAGGAAATCTTGGGTTGAGTGGATAGAATGGGGTGATCCATTGACTAGGTGTTTCAATCTCTGTTGTAGGTCCTTGACCAGTTTGTGTGAAGGTGTGCCTGGTAGGGAAACAGTGGGTCTGAGGGGGATGTCTGGTTTATGTACTTTAGGATGCAGGGCACATAACCAAAATGGACTGCGTGAGAATTAAACCAGAAAGCACAAACACCCCCCACTTCTATGGACACCCTCCCTCGTCTGAATGAAAACAAGTCAGCTCGGTGAGCAAGTCAACAACCTCATTAACTGGGAGAACAAAATGCATGATTAAATATGTTAATGATGCAATTATTTAGCCAGTTTTCCATTTTCCTCCTGTTTATTGTAATCCAGTGGTGTCGCCGTGGACAATGTGTGAAACACGGAGATTCAGGCCCAAAACCTATAAACGGTCGTTGGTCAAACTGGTCAATGTGGTCACCTTGTTCGAGGACCTGTGGAGGAGGAGTAACAAACCGAGAACGTCAGTGTACAAACCCAAGGTAAAGCACCACATATATAAATGGGCGATGTGTCTTATTCATGGCTGTTTGACAACTTTGTGGTCTGAAAATCCCAACTGGGTTCCCCAGTTTTTCACTACAGGTTCAGCAGCAACCTCTGGAAATCTGATTTGAATGGCTGAAGGTGGAGTTATGGCAGTTAGCTGGGAGAACCCAGTAATACTGTTTTACAAAGGTTACTGAGAAGTGAAACATTTGTAGCTAGAATACTACTTCCAGTTATTCGCTATCATTCACTTATACAAATTATTTTCAGGTTTTTGATGTATTATTTAACAATGTAATAAAGATCTTAAGCTCTGGCAGGATGATGAGATCAGCGAGCATTTAAAATATCTTGGCAATTAAAAAGGATACCAGAAGAATAGTTGCCCTAGCACCAAACATTTTATTGTCCTTTTTTTTCAGATGTTGCAGTTGAAAAGTCATTCCCTAGTTATTTTAGGCAAGTTAGTGATGTTTAATCTGTATGGACTTGATATCTGGGTGTGAACAAAAATGGTTCAAATGTACTGAGGAGTTCTGATGTTTGACGTGAGGATGAAATCCTAAAAGCTTTTATATACTTATGTCTGAACTCAACAGTTAAAATCTGCAGTGTAACCTAAACCAGTCTGCGGAACGTTAAGTTAAATACTCTTAAGAATGCTTAGTGGCTTTGCTGTTTACCTTGAGCAATCAAATCTCAATGTGTTCAGTAGTATTCAAAAAAGATTATTGCAATAATTAGTGCAGACGATACTGGTGTTCTATTAGCAAATGATTCAGTAAGTTAAAAGGTAATTTCATACTCTATGAATTTGATGTAATATTGATTTAAACTCGCACATCTCCTGACATGTAATTAAAGTTGAGAATGTCTTTTGTTACTATCAGGAGAGGAGGGGTCATAGCTCCCCTCTCTTTTTAAATCCCTCTCAGTCAGTCACAATGACGTTTTAAAAGTGTTTCCTTCATTTAGTGCATAGCTGTCACACTTCTATTAAACTTAATTAACCAGATCAAAAATGGGGAGCCAATCCTAAAATTTCTTAAGTGGAAAAGAGTGGGATTTATTCTCTACTACCCCCAAATAAATGTAACAACAAACACGCAAATAAATACAAGCAATAAAAACTAGTATAGGGGGAGGGTTGTCTGGTATAGGCACAAAGAGAAAACAAATGCATATATAGATCTGAAGAGTCTCTTGGGTTATGAGAATGACAAGACACTCTGCTGTTTCTTTAGCTGTTCTTCTTGATGAAGTTTGTAGATCTTGAATTGTGTATTAATTTTTTCAAGTTGTTTTTCCGCTGGTTCTGTGATTAAGAAAGAGAGAGGGAGAAGAGCTTCCAATATTCATGGTGTTGTCAGTCCATGTTGCTTTTTCTGTCCTTTTCCTCAAAGGCTGTTGTACCATTCTGTGAAAAATTCTGGTGTCTGCATCATTGTTTCATTTCAAGTTGGATAGTTGCATCACACAGTATACGCAGTAATCATGCGAGAGTGACTAAAACAAGAGATACAAATTTGTTGATGCCTCATTGAATTTCAGCGTCTCTTGGTTAAAGTGGTAATTCTGAGACAAACAATTTTGTATATTCCCCGTGGGTTGCATGGGCCTGTCTGGTGATCACTGCAGTGGTGTCCTTTTTAAAACCATTTTAAGTTCACAAATGTCTCCAATATTAAAATCAAATTCTGAAAGTTGAACATTTTCATGAGGAACGTCATACCTGTTTAAATTTTATCTTTTGCTTGACATGTCTTGGAAGTTGAGAATTAGACCCAAAGATTTTAACTTGCCTTGATTAGAGAGCTAGGTTTGTTCACAACCAGGCTTTCAGAAGTACATGTCTGTAGGTCAAGATTTGAGTAACACTGCTGAGGCGGCATTCACAGCTGATGCATACATTGTGAGACAGGCAATTAAAGCCTCTGAGGAGTGGCAATGCTCCTTTTCCTTCTGGATGAACAGAGCTCCACATTTCTGGACAAGATATCTGACCACAGAGTCCTCCTTCATAGCACAGGATCATTAGAAGAAGCCAAGCACTCCCTGCTTCTTGGTAAGTCTTCATTCACTGTCAAGCTTTAAGATCTTTAAACAGCTTTTCAATGTGTTTGTGAGAGAGGTGTGAAGTGAATGGATGACAGAGTGATAGGATGATAGCTTGATGTGATAGATGGGTATAATGATAGGATTGTACAGCAGGTCACTGGGACTTGAAGTCAGAGGGTCAGGGAAATCCTGGAGGGGAGTTGCAGGATTATGGGGGGGTGGTTGGCCAGGGGTGTCAGTTGTATAGTTACTTAGCAGTTAGACACGGTATTAATCTGTCTAACATTTCATGAATAACTATCCTAGTCAGTAAGGAACTGGCTAGGTCTCTGATTCTAGCTCAAAGTCGCAGATCTTTCTCATAGAATCATTATAGAATCCCTACAGTATGGAAGCAGGCCATCTGGCCATTCAACCTTAGAGTGCTGGTTCATAGTTCCTTGAAAGTGGAGTCGCAGGTAGACAGGATAATGAAGAAGGCATTTGGTATGCTTTCCTGTATTGGTCTGTGCATTGAGTATAGGAGTTGGGAGGTCATGGTGCAGCTGTACAGGACATTAATAAGGCCACTTTGGAATACTATGTTCACTCCCTGCTATAGGAAAGATGTTGTGAAACTTGAAAGGGTTCAGAAAAGATTTACAAGGATGTTGCCAGGGTTGGACAGTTTGAGCTATAGCGTGAGCCTGAATAGGCTGGGGCTATTTTCCCTGAAGCATCGAAGGCTGAGGGGTGACGCTATTGAAGTTTATAAAATTATGAGGGGCATGGATAGGCTGAATAACCAAGATCTTTTCCCCAGAGTAGGGGAGTCCAAAACTGGAGGGCAAAGGTCTATGGTGAGAGGGGAAAGATTTAAAAGGGGCCAACGGGGCAGCTTTTCCACGCATGTGGTGTGTGTATGGAACAAGAAAGTGGTGGAGGCTGGTACAATTGCAATATTTAAAAGGCATTTGGATGGGTACATGAATAGGAAGGGTTTAGAGGAATATGGGCCAAATGCTGGCAAATGGGACCAGATTAATTTAGGATACCTGGTCAGCATGGACGAGTTGGACTGAGGGGTCTGTTTCCATGCTGTACAACTCTGACTTAGAGTCTAAACTGACCCTCCAAAAACCATCTCACCCACACCCCTACCATATGCCTGTAACCCCACATTTATCATAGCCAATCCACCTAAGCTGCACATCTTTGGACTGTGGGAGGAAACCAGAGCACCTGAAGGAAACCCACACAGTCATGGGGACAATGTGCAAACTCCACATAGACAATCGCCTGAGGGTGGAATCTAACCTGGGTTTCTGGCACTGTAACGCAGGAGTGCAAACCACTGAGCAACTGTGCCACCCACAAGGAAGGTTGATTTGGGACTCCGCAAGTCTCAACACACGTCTCTGGTCTCTGGACCAACTGGAGAGCAGAAGACCAAGACCGATGTTTGAAAATCCATGAAAGAACATGTACGGTCTTTCCAATATTAGGCAGGAATTTGCTGAATCTCAGCATTACATAGATCAGCTTGAAGCTGAGTGACAGGTTCAAAGCAAAACATTGTGACCTTCAAGCAATATTTTCCCTGGCTTTACTGCAGTCATACACACTGTTTAACACTGCAGCCCCCGGTCCAGCACCACGTGTAACTCCAACTGATACCAATGCTCAAGAGGAATGTGATGTGGCTGCGAAATCTTCCCTCTAATATCTGTCCAGGACCATTACAGCATGGTGAATATTACAAATAACACTTCAAACTTCTGATGGTATTTTTTGGCATCCTTCCTTCTGCTATGTGAAATATTTGACAGTATAAACTGGTTTTGTTAAGTTTGCCACTGTAGTATCTCCTTTGATTCAGGCAGTTATAGAAACAGAGAAACATAGAAAATAAGAAAAGGAGTAATCCAATCGGCCCTTTGAGTCTGTTCCACTATTCAACGTGATCATCGTTGATCATCCTACTCGGCACCCTATTCCTGCTTTCGTCCATATTCTTTGATCCCTTTAGCCCTAAGAACTATATCTGTCTCTTTCTTGAAAATGTTCAATGTTTTAGGCTTCACTGCCACAAAAAGCAGTTAATCCACAGGTTCACCACTTTTTAGGCAAAGCAATTTCATCTCATCTTGGTCCTAAATGGCCTCTCCAATATCTTTAGGCTGTGACCCCTGGTTCTGGACTTCCCAGTCATCGGGAACATCCTTCCCACTTTTAATCTGTCTCGTCCTGTTAGAATTTTATAGGTTTCTATAAGATCTCCCCTTAAACGTCTAAACTCCAGTGTATATAATCCAGTGTCTCTTCATACGTCATTCCATCTCGCCCATCTTCATATGTTTGGTAAAGCTTAATTTTGATAGAAAGTAAACTAATGGCATTATGCTTCTGCCCAAAGCAGTTGCCAGGGTGAAGGTGGTGTTGATTTACCTGAAGCCAGCAGGTTTTACTTTGAACAACCGAAGGAGTACCTTCCCTTTTAGTTGGGAGAACAGATAAAGCTCTCAGGGGCCCCATCACTCCTGTATTCTCATCCACACTTCTTTTATTGAGTAGAGCACTTTGAATTGTGCCTTGTCCATAAATCTTGGATCTGGAACATGCTTTTACTACCAGAAATATATCACATCTCACTTGGAATCAATCTCCTCCCTGTTATGAACTTGTTATATCGGTTTGAATTTTTGGGACTCATTATATTTAAGATGTTATGTGCGTCACAGTTGTAAACTATTCAGTCTATTTCGTGTAGAAACTGGAATTTCAAGATTTCTTTAAATGTAACAGACAAATAAATGTGTGCAGCCACTTTTGTTAAGGATAATCTCAAAAATTGAAAGTCCTGGGCTTGGCAAGGCAATCATAGTACAAAATATTATTTCAACGAGCTGGGGTTATAACTTTACTCTTGACAGTGAAAATTCAATGTTTTGAAGAT